AATTGTAATATAACCATGAAAGAAATACGAAATAAGTCAAATGATTTTATCTATTTTTAATTTAAATAATTTCAACTCAAGAAAAACGATAAAAATAAATGAAGAATAAATAAATTATTTTGAAATTTTACATTGATGAAAACTTCTTTGTAATGTTATTTCATGAAAACATAATTAACGATAAAAATATACTGAAACATAAAAATAAAATTGAATAAAATATTAAAACAAATGATGTTAAAAGAAATAACCAATTAGAAAAAGAAGTAATATTTTTAAACAAATAACCTATTTTCTGAATTATCAGTACTCAAACTACAAAATAAACTTTTATTCATCAAATGTCAAATATAACAGTAAGATTCTTCTTAAATGGAAAATCGATTTCAGTTAAACCACTGAATTCACAAGACAATTTGAAAACAGCAAGAGAGAAATTAAAAGAAAAGATGTCTGGTTCTCAACAATTCCTAACAAAAGAAGGAGATTTAATTGATATAAATGATGAAGATTCATTTACTATAGAAGATGTAATTGATTCATCAAGAATAATAAATATCAAAGAAAAAGAAGATAAAAAGGAATTAAAAATAAAATTAAATGACAAATTATTTAAAACTATTGAATTGGATAAGAAAACAAAATTAAGTGATGTCAGAAAATCAATTCAAAATATTCCAGAATCTGCACATTTCTATACACTTGATAATGAAATAATTGAAAAAGATGAAGAAGAAACATTTTTAGTAGAAAATATAATAAATAATGATGAAATTATTATTAAAAATGAAAAAGGAATGGATACTATAACTATTGGAATATATTTGGATGGAAAAATATTCATGAAAAAACAATTCGATAAGAACATTTCTCTTTCTGATATCAGAAAGGAACTTGAAATTGTAACATGTATAACAAAAGGTTTTGTATTTGAAGATCAAGAAAGAAATAAAATACAAAGAGAAAATGAAAAATCATTAAAATTATCATCTATTTTATATGACAACAAGATCAATATAACAACAGAAATGTCTGATACTTCATCAAATAATAATACAACATCTGTTGGTTCACCATGTAATACTACAACACATAATACTTCATCAAATAATACTACAACTGTACCCAGAAAAAATGTTCCAATTGAAGGAAGTATAAGATTGGAAAGCCATGAAAAAGGAAAATTGAAAATATATTTATATCCAAATGAAGAATTTAATACAATAGATGAAAGTGATGCAATTGCTATTTTAGTTGTTGGACAAACAGGAAGTGGTAAAACAACATTATTAAATAGTTTTGTAAATGCAATATGTGGAATCAAGATAACAGATGATTTTAGATATATAATTATAAATGAAGATAATTTAGAACAGAGTAAAGATCAATCTAAAAGTCAAACAAGTGAAGTAACAATTTATAATATTAAAAGAACAAAAAGAACACCACCAATAAAAATAATAGATACACCTGGATTTGGAGATACAAGAGGAATTGAACATGATAAAGAAATTACTAAACAAATCAAAGAAGCATTTGAAACAAAAGTATTAGATTTAAATGCTATTTGTTTTGTTGCACAATCAAGTAATCCAAGATTAACAACAAGTCAAAAATATATATTTGGGAATATTATTGATTTATTTGGGAATGATGTGATAAATAATTTTATTGCTATGCTTACATTTTGTGATGGTGAAGACCCACAAATTATTAATGCATTACAATCCAAAGACTGTATTTTCAGTACAATTATTTCATACATAGATGAGCCATGGTATTTAAAATTTAATAATTCAGCTATTTATGATGATGATATTAAAGATGGATTTACACAAATGTTTTAGGAGTTAGGTATGAAGAACTTTGATGAATTTATTAAAAAATTAACAAAATTACCAAGAATATCATTAAAACAGTCCAGAGAAGTTTTGAAGAGAAGAGAACAAATTAAAACTCAAATTGAAGGGCTGAGAATATCATTAAATAATGGAATATCAAAAATGAGTGAAATAGAACAAACATGTGAACAGTTCTATTTGAATCGAGATAAAGTTAATAATAATCAAGATTTTACATTTACTGTTGATGTAACAGTACAAAAAAAGATTGAATTAGAAGTAGGAGAATATGTAACTAATTGTTTGAGATGTAATAGAACATGTCATTATCCATGTTATATTGAAGGAGATATAAAAGATGGATGTTATTGTATTGGTGATAATGGATATTGTAAAGTATGTGGATGTCATTACACACAACATGCAAATGGAAAATATAGATTTGATTATGTAACAGAAACAAAACAACAAACAGCACAAGAAGTACTTGAAAGATATAACCAAGGTAAAAAAGGTATGGCTAGTGCAGAAAATCTGTTAAACAAGTTGGAAGATGAATATATTAAAATCCAAATGGATTGTTATGATAAAGAATTAAAAATTATAAAATGTATTAATATATTATCATCAATTGCATTAAATGATAAAATTACTAGTTCCAATGAATATTTAGACCAATTAATTGAAACAGAGAATGAAGAAAAGAAAAGTGGATATAAAAAACGAATTGAAGGATATAAACAACTTAAACAAACAAATGAAATAATAGAAGGTATTATGAAAAAAGCCTCAACACAAAAGAGTAAGGAAGAGATTAAAGCAGAGATTGAAAGAAAAATGAAAGAATTAAAACAAGGAGAAAAATCAACATTAGGTAAATTCATTCAAAAAATGAGAAGTATGTTTTAATCTGATAAAAACAGATAATTAAATGAAAGTTTTAATTAATTGGTTTAATAATTTAATATTTAATTAAGTAATAAAAATGATAAATAATGTTCATTATTTTCCAATCTGAAATTTGTTCAATTTTTTATTATTAATTAAATTCTCTATGTATATTTGAATATAATACAATAAATAAATCAAATGAATTATCATATTGTTAAATATAATATTTTAATATCAATATTAATTTTAATTTTTAAATGATTTAATTATTCTTTTCTATCTTATTGATTGATATTGATATATCATTCTTTATATTTGTTTTATAATTCTTTTTTATTCTTATTTTAATATTCTTATTCTTATCTTTCTTTTTTTTATTTTATATCTTTTATTTTATTTATTTTATATCTTTATTTTATTTTGTTTATTATTTATTATTTATTTTATCTTATTTATCTTTTTATATTTATTCATTCTTTATTCTTCATTTTGTTTTAATTTATATTAAAATTATTTAGAAATGAGAGAATATGTTGAATTTGATTTTATATTTTGATTATTTCATTAATCAAATTGATGATTATTGATTATTGTTGTTAATTTTCATATTTCATTTTATTTTATTATTATTTATTGATGATTTCATTATATTGATTGTTTATTATAAATTAAATAATTCTTATTGATTATTATCATCTGATTCATTAATTAAATGTTGAAATATTTCATTTATTTGTATTTATAATGTATATTATGTACATATTGATATATTCAATAATCAAAATGATAAATATAATAATAAAGAAAGAAAATATATAAAATAATATATCAGAATAATAAATAATATAATCATATAATGAAAATAAGATAATGAATATAAAGAATAATAATATTAAAATAATAAATAATAAATAACATAATAATGAAATCAAAATAATAAATAAATAATAATAACAAATATAAATGATTAATATTGAATTAATATATTAATCTATATAAAATATCTCTAAATCAATAATAATAAAATAACATATATTCATAATGATAATAAATAATATTTCATATTCTATCTCATTCATTTTATTTTAAAATAAATAAATAATAAAAATAAATATAATTTATTCAATTATAATTTATATATTCATTCATTATTTATAATAATATATAAATATTTATGTACATTCAAAATGAATAACAAATTAAATAGAAAGAATTAAATAAGAAGTGAAAGAATAAATAAAATTAATAAAATAAGAATATAGATATTAATAATAATATAAATATGAATAAATATTATATGAATAACATACATTTGTTTGATATAAATAATGTAATTTCTATTTTATTTCTTCTTTTATATTATTTTATTCTTATATTATTATTTCTTTATCTTTATATTATTTATTAATCATTCATTTTGTTTATTTATTATTCTTTTTATATTTCTTATTATTATTATGTTATTACAATATCAAATGAAATAAAATAAAGATATTTACATAATATTAATTCAAATATTATATAAATAAAATATAGAATAGTGATACAGATTAAAATGATTATACAATAATTTATTTTAACAGTTTCATTAATGAATACCAAATTAATTCATATATTTCATGTTAATAAATAAAGATATTATACAATGAAATGAAATAATTATGTGTTCATTTCATTCTACAATTTGATTATTGATTAATGATATTATTAATAATTAAAAAAGAAAAGAATAATACAAACATAATGATATCATTTTAAATAACAATATTTAAATATCATCAATATCATTATTATTTTATTTTCATAATATTTCTAATTAATAAAACATTAATAAATCAACTTCTTAATGAATAAAAATATATTATTCATTTATTTAAGAAATAGTTGTTTATAAATAAATAATAAAAATGAATAATAATAAAATGTTAATAATAGATAAATGACAAGAATTAAATATAATAGAGAATGAATTTAATAAGAGAAAAGTTAACAAAAATACAAGTATTCAATTAACATGAATATAAAATGGTAAAATAACAATACAAAGAATGATGAAATTAAATATTGAAATAATTTAAATAACAAAGAAGAAATAAATAAAAAGAGAAAGAAAAAAGATAAAACAAATCAAATAATGAATAAAATGAAATAGTTGATAATATGATGAAATAATAATTATTTAATAAATCATAAATAAATAAGTATTAATTTAATGATGAGATAGTAGTATTATTTATTAATTTATTCATATTCATTATTTATTTCTTAATTTCTTAAATGAATATTATTATATTGTTTATGTCAACACAACTTCTTTCTCTTTTCTTCATTATCTCTTATAAACAATTTCTATTCATTTTATTGCATTGGTATTTAATTTTATTCATTGAAATATATTTGAAATTCATATTTACTTTGTATTTATTCAATCAATCGAATAAAATGTAAATTAAATAATGAATATTTAATTACTTTAATTAATTATATCAGAAA